AATTCGGAAAAGCTCTGTGATTATCTCCATCTATCTACCAACTTATATCTGGTAAGACACTTTGTCCCTTTTAAATATCAACAAAATTACGCTGCAATAATCTATTTTTTTATCATATGACCAGAACCTTCTTCCACCTTTATGATTTGTACCATGTGCCAAACTATCAATTGAATCAGAAAGTATCACTGTGGCTGTTGTGTATGCGTTTCATTGCATCCAGTCTTACCAAAACATGTACGGCCATCGCCATTAAATCCAGAGGCACACTGGCATGTAAAGTCGTTTCCTTGGCCAGGTCGGCAAACAGCATTGGTGTCACAGCGGTGTCTCCCAGTGAAACATGGGTTGTCTGCTGGTTCCCCCCCTTAAAAGAAAGAAAACATTGTTTTTTTTTCCTTTAATCGGTTGCAGCAAGAAGAACAGGACTCAAGTGTAATCACTAAATCCTCCTCTGCCCTCACCATTTACATCACCAATCTTATTGCTCATGGCCAAACGAAGGAGGTTATTGGGAGCATCATACAGAGCAAAGACTTGGTCCACGCTGAGCAGCTGGGTAGGCTTCATATCGCTCAAAGCATTGCCATGCTGGCAGCCCTGGAAGGAAATTCTCTGATTCCATTGATACCTTCTGTTTTCATTGGAGCCATCAGGCAAAATCACTTTGTAGTTGTGAGTAGAGGATGAGGTGATCACTGGAAGGTAAGTAGCCAGATAAGTGAGTAAAATAATGACAGATTAAAGGTTCAGAGACTGGATAGAAGTAATGTCTTACAGTTGTTGCTGTACTGGTAGATTTCTGTGTAAGGGTCTGTCTGGATGCTTGCACCTAGAGGCACCTCAGGGATTTGGCCATTAATGGTGGTGCTCACCACCAGGTGGTCCTGTTCATCAGTCCCTTTAAACTCCTGTCTAATGGTCAGCTTCTCGTTCCCAGGGAGGAAGGTTACTTCAGCCTGTCGGGTGAACTCCCCCCCTGCGTAGGACAGTGAAGAGAGTTAAGAGCCTGCCTCTGAAAAAAAGAGGAATGGTAATGCCTCATCCAGCATCAGTAGTTTACTTCCTCACCAATAATGCTGAAGCCGTTCTTAAAGCCAGGTTGCTCAAGAGCAAAGGCCCAACCGATCGCACCGCTGATGGCGGACAACGGCATCAGAGAAGGCCCCAGATCAGCAGGAATATCGCTGATGGCAACATAGGATCGACCATCGTTGACCACTACGTATGAGTGGAGGTCCTTGCTGCTGAATTCAATGGGAGATGGAGAGTTGCCAACAAACAGCCGTCCATTTACTTTACCATTCATCCTCTGTGGCTTTCCTGCAAAACACAAAGATAAACCTCTTTAATAATGAGCATTTCTCACTACGTCATATTCATCATTGAAAGCCTGACAATGGACTGGACATTCAAATATACTCCAGTCCCTGATTATAAATATAAATTCTGAATCTACTGTTTATTTACATTGTCTCTGATTTATTATTACTAGTATATTAATACATATCACATATATAAATGAATGAAAAGTGGATAAATGTAGGTGCAGGCAGAAATAAACTATTTCTTAAACCACAAATGAATGTCAACAGCTGGCAAAAATTCTTAGAAAGAAAATAATGATTCTTATATAGCAGCTATATCAATCAAAAGATTTTAGAAATATTCATGTATTAATTTAGGCATAGGAAATAAAACTTTTTACAAACTATTACGAACCCATTAATATTTGTAGGGAATAAAAGCTGCAATAAACCTAATCCTCTATCTGTAATAATTTCATAAAAGCCTTGATAACGCTTTTTGAAGTCAATTATGACTTTGTCTGTCAGGACTCCTGTCTTTGTCTTTGTGTTTCTGTGTTTGTCTCCCTTCATCCACCAGGAGGCGCCTGGTTCTGGTCCGCCTCCTCACACACCTGCTGATGGTTTCCTCGTTAAATGGAGTGCTCTTAAGCTGCTGACTGACACTACCTCGACGCCAGAGTGTTTGCCAGTTTTAGGTACTCTAGCCAAGCTGAGTTTTTGCTGAGTCAAACTGAGTTTTTGCCGACCTGAGTTTAACTTTGTTTTTGTCTTTGCCTCTCAGCAGGAAGTCATCCTGCAAACTGGATTTCTCGGACCTTTACTCCCTGGAAGGATCAGCTGAGCTTCAAACTGAGCTGGGTTTTTAAACAGGAGGTTTGGATCCACTTTCCCCAAGAGATCGTTTGAGCTTCTCACTGAGAAAGGGATTATTCTCCACTACGACCCGTTCAAGTACCGCAGGAAATTTGAGTGTCAGTCAGTTTCTCCGTTCACCAACTATCAACCGCATTCTGGGTAAACCCTGTTCCGCCCTCCACCGAATCAGACAAACACTGGAACCACGGCACACAGACAGGAGTCAAGGATTCAACAACTTCTCTGGAAACTTGAGTCGGCAATCAAATCCTCTTATCCAAGTTCACGAGTCAAATTCCCCACTGAGCCTGAACTAACTGTTGTGTCTTCCCCTCACTTTACAGTTCCGGTTGAGCAGTGTTCCGAGCAACACTTCTCCCTCTGTTTAACCTCTTCAATAAAACCTGTTAAACCTTTTCCCTGGTCTCTCTGTTCAGTTTTTCTGCATTTGGGTCTGAACTTTGTAAAATCATGACATTGTCTACATGTTTTTAACAACCGCCCTTTCAAAATTTGAAATAAGAGAACATTCCATTCATAAAACTGTGACGATACAAGGACTGTGCCCATATGCTTTGCAATAATATTAAATAAAACGTAGATATTAAAAAAATATATATATATTTAAAAAAAAAAAGACTGGACCAATATTGTTTTTTTCCCCCTAAACCCATGGATCTTGATGGAAATTAGTGTTCGCATTTCTCCTTTATTAAATCTCCAAGTAAGCCATTTTTAAAATGTCATGAAAGACAAAAAACAAAATAGTTTTTCAACTTTGACAGAAGCTATCTACTTTGGTCAAATTTGAGAAAGACGATGTCTTTCAGCGAAATAATATGAAGCAACTCAGGCCCACTGTTTAGAGGCTCTAATAGAACTGTAACTTCAGGCATGAAAATCAGAAACGGTGTGGAGCTAAAGACGCAAAATCATTTGCAGCATCTCTGGGGAATGATTTTTAGGAGATGCGCGAATAGAAATTGTTAAAGCTCTCTGTTTGCATATCTGGGCATTCTCCAACTGTATGCAGTGATAAAAGAGACTGAATGATAAAGGGGGATTGTAGTGCTATATTAGCATAAAAGCTGTTAAAGGTCCTTGGAAAACATGATAATGTGGAATATTATTAAAACCGGAACACCTGAAGTTTATTATTTTGTGTTTCAGAAAAAATTGGAAAAGAAGCATACCCTCTGCCACACACTGTATGCCGTTTCCATAGTAGCCAGGTCTACAGTGGCAACAGTATCCACTGGCATAATCTCTGCAGTCTGCAAAGTGGGAGCACTTGTTTCTGTTGGTGGCACATGTCCCAGGAAGGTATGTGAACACTAAGAACCCAGGAAAAAAAGAAAGAATAAGACATTTCAAGCACAGATAAATATTTACAGTTCAGTTAAGCCCTTTTTAATGGGAAGCTGTGTCCCAAAAAAGGTCTGTTTTTAGTTTATTCTGTCCTAAACGAACTAAAAGTTTGTAGTGGTATCATGACAAAAAGTTTTAGTTTTTCTCACCATTTACATCAATCTCTGCGTCATCGATCTCAACTACTTCTGGGTTCTGCGGCTGTAGTAGTTGGTATTGAACGGGAAGGACCTCAATCTGCCCAGCGTCGGGATTATTGGGAGAGGAATTCTGTAGTCTATGGCTTTCAGCAGCGGATAGTGGGGCCTCCGTTGGCAGATCGGTGACCTCCCCAGGAGCAACGTTGGAAAAATGGGGAGAAGTTCCAATCTCGTACACCCATACACCACGCATGCCTGAGTTGGTCTCTCTGTGAGACAGGAAGATTGATGTGATTCGAAAAAGTCGGACACTACAGTGAAACAGTGACTACTTCTGGGTGCTTCTTACTCTGCCAACGCCCTAACAGAAGCCTCGCTGTCTGTGGTGGTGCGGTAATATTGTCCCTGTATGGGACCGGAGAACCCTTCAACCAAACCTTTGCTGAAGCCAGCATGCATGATCATATCACCGTCTCCTAAAGGCGTGGTTACAAACTGTACCCCATCCCTTGGGTAGAGGAGAATGGCATATGAGGCAGTGTCCAGAGATGCAAGAACCAGCTGGAAGGTGTTCCTCTAAGCAAAACAAAATATCAGAGGTTGTTAATGATTAGCTCAACTACCGACTGGTTGCAGAGTCGCATCTTGCTCACCTTCTTCTCAATACCATCTTCTCTGGATTGGGGTTCATGAGCGGCGACGGTAATCCAGGTGATCACCACAGCAGCTGTGGGACTGACCTCATCATCCTCCGGGAATGCCCTGTTGATGTGCTCAGCTGCCCGACGGAGAACATCTGGGCTATAATCCTGACGGAAGGAAACTCTCCCCACACCGTCACTGGTGTCCAGATCTCCCTGCAGGGCTGCCACCATGCCGAACGTTGGAGGCATTTTACCAAGGTATGCCGACTCATCTGTTGGTTTTGCTGTGGCGACAAAACCGTTCGTGTTGATCTAAAATACAAGGAAAAACTAACGAGTTAGATAAGAATATAAAAAAAGGGGTTTAAGCTTTGTTTTGAAACATCACAGACAAACTCAATTTACTCTGACTCCCTTTGATCTCTTTTCCAAACTCATTACACTAATGATCCTAAAGAGCTGTTTTGTTCCCTCCAAGTTCTAATGAACAAACAAGCTCCCATTTAATACAGCTTTTACACACTTACTAGTTTAATACGAGCACACGTGAAGTCTTAAAACCAGTGGGATTATGAAAACACATCCTTCCTGTAAGGAAAACAAGAAAACTCTTCCATGTCCAGGCTGTGCCGTTTCCTGTCCTGTCCCCTGAAGAACTGCCCCGGAGAGCTTGAAGATTGCAAACTAATCTTCATTACAGAAACTTCCTGCCAAACTGGGGGAATAATCAGCCAGTGTGATCTCACAGATGTGGAGAGGAGAGACGGACCTTTATAGATAGCTGTCAACATATGTTAAGACTTGATAAAATGTAAATTACCCCCAGAAGGAGATGATAACACCCTTTGACCTAATTACGAAAGGCCTTTTTGTTTAACCATGTCTGCACTCTAACCAGTGGAAAACAGTTAACCCCCACAGGGCTCACAGTTCAGAACAGACTGTGTCACAAATGAAAAACAGAACTCTTTAAAGGAAAGCTTAGCTCCGATGCTGCGTTGTTCACATCATAGCACAGATTTAGCTGTTTTCATTTAATTTGTAGAAACTGGATGTTATAAAGCTAAACATCCACGATCAGTTGGATCACACATTTTAGATGATGATGTTTTTTGCTCCTTGAATCTTTTACTGAGTTATTTCTACAATTAAGACATCTTGGAGTATTTTTTTGGTTTGCTTCTCAACTATTTTTGAACACATAAATTTACATTTTAAAGTCCACTACATTGTTAAAACTATTCCTTATCATAACTTGGAAACAATAGAATCAATGTATCAAATAAGAGCATTAATAACTAAGGTAAAAAGTTAAGAACATTTCATTATATCACATCCATGTCTTCACTGTAAATGATCTGTTTTCATTCATAAGTCACAACATACATTCATTATTCATGGAAGCAAGATGCTGAAATATTAAAATCAGGTTTCGGAACTTAAAGAAAATGTGTCTTACTTACAAAACACTGATTATATTACACATAAAATGTTTTAAAAGCTGTTTTGATCAAATGTCTAGAATAGCAAACCTTTTATTTAACAGATTAATTGGACTTGTGCATTGATTACTTGCCCTTTTGGTTTGTAACTAACTGGGTTTTTTGACAAAATATTCTGAAACACAACTTTGTAATTTTTATTTAATAATGTGTCAAATGTTTTGACAACTTAGAACTCTAGAAACAGAAATTTCTTTTTGTAAATTTAGCTTTTTTCATATTAAATTAAATTCACAGTATTTTTGTTGTATTATGTTTATTTATTTAAAACCAATTTAGTTAATTCTATAATAACATCACCAATTCCATAAAGCAGCTTAACAAACATAAAATTTGAAGGGAAAACAACTATTAACTATAATGTAACTTAGTTTACTTAGTCATATCCTAATAGATAATGATATAAAACTAATAAAATCAGTTAGGATTTAACTTGATAAACTAAAAAAGGATCATAGTTATATTAAAAGTTAAACATACTGGGATTTTCAGGTCATACCGTCCACTCAAAGCCATTTACACTTAGGCCATAATTATAAAATAGTCATACACTGATATTTTGATAGTTAACTTTCAGCCAAGTGCCTTGCCCAGGTGCACATCAGCATGTGGCAAGAAGAAACTGGGATCTAACCTTCAATTTATGGATTGCAATACAACTTATCTTCCCACTGAGACACAGTCGCCCATTTTTATCACACTGCAGCGACTAACAGTGTGATACCATTGGTTAAAAGCTGGTTGAAATGTCCTTGAATCATTTTGTAAAGCCCAAATAAAGATGTCACCACTTTGTAGGCTCTTGAATCAAAGCTTTAAGCTCCAAGGTTGAGCACACAAACAAGGAATAAACTTGGATTCCCCTTTCCTCCCAGTCCAGACACTATAAGTATAAATAAATAACAAGGAAATTACTAATCATTTTGTTTGTATACAAATTATACATGTTTTCCCAAAAGAGGAAGAGATACTCAGACTTTTAAATGATCATGAGGCGGATGAAGAGCCTGTCAATGTGGGGTGTTTTTTTTTCTTCCTACAAACAGCATTTGTAGGCCTGATCTAAAATCAAAAGTCTCAACAGTTTGTTTCCAGGATGTGTATATGCAGATGTGTTAGCGGCACCTTTCCTTCACCCAGAGAGTCCCAGTGATCCTCTTTGCAGAACTATATGGTGGTTGCAGCCTGGACCTGCCGTGTTTGAGGATTAGCCAAACCGCCGAGTGATGGACGAATAAAGGGCATAATGAATAATGACAGCATGACCAGCAACCAGGATGTACAATTTCTGCTGGATCGTCTGCTTGGCCTCTCAAGAAAGGGAGGTTCCCAGAATCCACAGCAGAAGCAGCGTTGAGAAGAGTCGGGAGGTAGTGGAGGGTGTTCTCTGGAAGTCCACCATCACCTCTCCTAACATACTGAAGGTCTCTCACTGCATCAGCTGATCCACAACTGGTCTGTATAAGACTTGTCATGAGTCAGACCACCGACAGTGGTGTCATCAACAGACAAGTCAGACTGATAGGTTAATTCACAACACCTGAGTTAACTGATGATCAATTATAACGTCCAAGAATGAGAAAGACCTCGGGTGGAGATGTTTGCTGAAGCTGATTATCAGAGATGGCAAAAGTAAGTGTTAAAAAATACTCTGGTAAAAGTGGAAGTACTGATTAAACTTCTTTACTCAAGTAAAAGTAACAAAGTACAGTCTGCCAATAGGACTAGATCTCCGTTGTGTTCATTTTCAATCATCTCGTCGTCCATGCTACTATGCTAACGCCACCGCCACCAAGCTGCAATGATTTGCCGCGAATGAATTCCGCCGAATCTGTCGATTCATCTTGTAGTGGTGCGTCAAATGCAACGTAGATTCCCATCCAATTAGATTGAATTTGGTATTGATGACGTGAAAAATAATAACGGTAACTCCATTGAAATGATTCAAAACTAAAGTAACGAGCCAAATTTTTAAAATGTAAGGAGTAGAAAGTACAGATATTTGTGTAAAAATGTAAGGAGTGGAAGTAAAAAGTCGCCATAAAAATAAGTAGTAAAGTAAAGTAAAAATATCTGAAAAATCTACTTGAGTACAGTAACGAAGTATTTGTACTTCGTTACTTCCCATCTCTGCTGATTATAGAGACTCTTCTTTAAATGCAACATAAAAAGCCAGATAACAGTTAAAAGAGGCTCCCAGTGAGAAAGATCTTAATTGGTGGAGACCCGGTCTAATAAAACAAAAAGTTACATAATTATCATCATTACACTGGGAAGGGGGGAACATTTTTTTCTTCCTAATGGATAATGGCCCAAAGGAGACAGCCAAGCTTGATACAAAGTGGCACAAGGGCAACACAGTCAAAGTTATGGAGCTGCAAGTACAAAACCCTCACCTTGATCTCACAGAAAAGAGAGTTTCCTAACAGAGTTGGATAAATTATTCAAACTGATCTATACCAGTAAATATTCTTCAATCTACATTTGTTTTTATCATTCTCACATCTCAGATTACCCCACAGCAGAAATATAAAGGGATTGCTATTCTATTATAGAAATCAGAGTACATGTTACATCAGTTCTGTCTGAAAGAAAAATAATTATGGTAAAGCAGGTAAAAGACACTTCTACCTTAGAAGACAGTTTAAAAGTAATTATCTCTATAATTATCAAGACATTTAGCTTATAAAGATATTTTTGCAATCCTAACTGATCTAAAACTGTTAATGCTTGGTCGGTTTCTGTAGAGAAAATGTATCTCATTTCAACCTTGAGTGATCTAAACACATTCAATCTGCTGTGACTCCTGGCTGTGCAGCACAATCAGCAGATGTTTTAGACATCAGAATCAGAGCATAAAGGGCGGTTTGTTCACCCGAAAGGTTGATTTTTATTTTTTTAAACAACTAGGGAAAACAGTCAAATTAAAGATTAAACATTCTCAGAAAATTTGGTCCAAGAGCACATTTTTCACATACCAGAGCTTTATGCAACCTAAACTCATCATTGGATCTTTTTTGGGGGGTTGGATATGTAAACAGTGACACGATAAGCAAGAGAAGCGGGTTCCAAAAGCTTTAGGAGGGGCGATTAAAACTTATTAGATTTGCTTTAATACTCACGATCAACAAAAACCGCTGGAGAAAGATTTTCAAACTTTCAGAAATTGTAAACGGATGCTGTTTCTGGCCGCGTTCTTGTTTGGGTTATGCGCAATTACGCAAAGAAATCCCCAAAACAACCAATAAAAACCTAGAAATACATGTTGGTTACTTAGTCTCCGCTACAAATCAATGAATTACTGGTTTACTTACAAAAATACTGTCGAATGTGCCATCATAAAAAAACAGGGGCTTGGTGAGTGAGAGGCGGTATGTCTGGTCATTCGCTGGGTCCAATAACTGGTCTCCTGCGCCCGAACCGAAAGGGAAAAGCTCGTCTCGTCTTATGCTCTGCACGGATGCTATGAATCCGACAAAACTGGCCCAAAGGAACCATCCTGAATTTAACCAACCCATTGTTCCAGTTTCACAAGCAGCAGAACATCCAGACTGGGGAAATAAGAAAGACTAAATGAACTGCTGGCCCTGGAGTGGAGACGTAAGGAGTGGGCGGAGTGCTGCGCAGCGAACCGCCAAAGGCTCAGAACACAAAAAAGATTACAGACACATAACAGAAAACTTCTTTATTTCAGTATTTTTATTTAAAAAGCACTTTTTGTGTTTTGTTTGTTTTCTTTTATAGAAGAAAAAAGAATATTAACCACAATGTAATATTCAAAAAAACTAGATTTAAACCTGGAGAGACTCACACAGAGAAAATCTGCAATTAGAAAAGTTTTATTCACTTTATTTACACAGGTAACACCATCATCTAAGGAAAACCTATTGATTGCAAGCACCCATTCACTCTGCAATCCCTCCCACTGAGCATGCATGGAGCGATAGTGGAGAGGAAAACTCAGTTTTAACAGGAAGAAACCTCAGTAGAATCAGGCTAAGTAGAAGCGAGGCCATCTGCTGAGGCCGACTGGGATTCAAGGAGACAGAAGTAGATAAAGACATAAGTTAAATAAGTTCTTTGGCGCTCAGGACCAGGCAGAAGACTTTGATGCTGTGAATCAATATTCGCTTGGATGAGTAACCAAGAAAAGGTTTAGAGTAGTCTTCCCCCGGGGTCCACGCATTGGTGGTGGAATAAGCCAGAGGCTGAGTGGGACTGAGAATAGGTCTGAGAATGAAGGAGGAGATGGGGTGGAGGTGCGAGAGAGAGAATCTGAGCCAGTAGATAACTGAAGGGGATCATGATGACTGGCTTCGGAGAAGGTGCGTGTGCTGTTCACTGGTGCCAGGGGCCCTCCGACCACCATCAGTAGGCAATGCGGGTGAAGTGTCTTGCCCAAGGACACGAAACAGAAAGCCGTCAAATCTTCAGTTGTAGGGTAAACTCTTACATCCGATGCTGCTGTTGCCCCTGTTAAGAGTCTCCAGATTGAATTTCTGCTTAAACTTCATGTTTACAGTGACTGCAGGAAGAAAAAAACCTCTCCCACAACAACCCAACTTAGGAATTTAGATGTTTGTACTTTATTCAATGTATTAAGTAGAATTGATTTCAAACTTCTAATGTCAGGCGGTATGTTTAGGGCGGTTGTCTATTTGAAAGAGCAATTGAATCCCAGATATCAGGAGATGCTGCCTTAAAACTTCCACATTATGTTTGTGCCATTTGTTTTGTGAAGTGCCAAACATCCTAAAAGTCATGTCTTCAGACTGTGGGGATAAGTCAGAGTATTAACAGGGAGAACATGCATACTCCATGCAGAAAGAACTCTAACCCATGCACACACTTCCTCCAGCAAAGCAATATTACTACAAACTGTGTCTCCATGACACTTATCCTTCCTGACGTCTTTTCGTGTTTTCAGTGATGTCAGACAAAGAAGCAGAGATAAGAAAAGACATCCACAGGTTTGCCTGTATTTAACTCAATGCGGTAAATTAGCCAATCACAAGCTTACAAAGCCAAGTCATCATCACCAAGGGTGTTCTAAATTATTTCATATTTAATTTATATTACATTAATTATATGTATCCATATATATATTGCAGTAACTGCAGTTATTCACAAAACACTGTAAAGTATATGGAAGTGTTGCAAAAGACAAAACGTTTCTCTATGTTATGATGTCATGTCTGATTTACTGAGAAGCTGAACTTGTATTTTTTGTTCAATAAAAGTCAGAATAATAAAAATCAATACAAATAAATGATAGAAAAATATCACACTGTAAAGAACTGTCTTTCTTTCTGCGTTTTGGTTCATAGTCAAAAGTTCCATTAAAGACACAAAATATCAAAATTCACTGAAAGTCAGTGTATTTAGATGATGATGCTGTTATCCGTTCAGAGGCCACTGTGTATGAAATCTCAGAGCTGATTTCAGGCCATGGGATCATCAGCATATGGACCAGTAAGCACCAAGAGAGCTCTATGCCCAGTGGGCCTGATATTGTGTAAACGGCAGTAATATAAAGCAGTGCGGCATTTGTTAATCACACGGGTCATGCTGCAGCAGCTATCACATTCAACCCCAGCTGGGATAATGAGGACATGCTGGTAGGAGTCTCTGACCCACTAACAGATGATCAGTCATCCATCCAATACTTTGGCAAAACTCATTTCATTCTTTTGGGGCTTTTGTTATGGTATTTAGTTCCCATGGTAACCATAATTCCCAATCAAAGTTTTTTTCAAGGAATCACAATGCTTATTATTGAAGCTGAGATTTCCTGTCCTTCATAATAAAATACGTTTTTTATACATTCAAAATGTATCCTCACAGTTCTATGACTATACACAAGGTCTAAGTTACAGACTGGGCTGTTTCTGGGTTGTTGCAGGTAACAGAATTAACACACTGGAAGATAGGTTGGGTACACTCTGGTGTCAGCGAGGTTTGTAGAGGACCCAAAGGCAGAGATGGAGGCTGTGGTGGTTTCTTGTTGATTTAATCATTAATTGGTGGCAACAGAATCATTAATCCAGAAATAACTGACCTGGGGACATAGAACCCAGAACAGAGGGGCATACTGGGCTTCAGACGGGTGGAAGATAATCCAGCCAAGATTAACTGCAGAGGAGGAGTATTTATGCCAAACAGAACAATGAATAATCAGCTAATTGGGGGCAGGTGTAGACAGAAGTAACTAGAAGGGAGCAAAGGGAAAGGATAGTCCCACAAGGGGGCAACAGAGAGTAACTAAGAAATACAAGATGGCTTGAATATAACTAGAAAATAACTTAACTTACACTAAATAGAATTGAAACTAATGACTTAGAAAACACAGACTCACATAAATCAGAGTTTAAGTGAAAACCCAAATTGAAAAAAGAAAATAAATAAATAAAATCCAGATCAACAGATCATGACAGAAAGGGTGCATTTTTTAAACCAGGGCAACACAACCGTAAGCATACTCACTCAAAAGGGTAGTTTAGAGACACTGATTAATTTATGCATAAACATGCATATTTTTAGACTATAGGAGGAAGCAAGAGTAACTGGAGATAACCTGCACATGCAGGATGACTTGCAAACTCCATGCAGAACAGAACAGGAGCTTCTCTCTGCAAAGCAATAGAGCTGTGTCACCTGGCTCCCCTGAATGTGATCTATTAATTATTTACATATAAGAGAAAGAAAATTATAAATGTGAAAACATGGGAACAATAGAAAGTATACTGAGGCCAAAAAAGTAATGAAAATTTGCCAAACAGACATCTTTTAGAATAGAATAGAAAATTCCTTTATTGTCCCACAATGCGGAAATTATGGTTTTACAGCAGCAGCAAAAGATTATAGCAACATTATTTTATGATCTTTTTATGATTAAGATTTAAATACAGACATATAAGCTGTCAAAATCAATTTATTCTGTAAAAATTAAAATTGTCCTTAAACTTAACAAATAAAAGAAATCCTCCTCTAATCATTCGGTAGGTGTTTTAACATTTGCAACTCCAAATATACCAACTTTTTTTCCTTTTCAGCAGTTAGTTGTAAAAAAAAAGGGTTCTGTCAAAAACTTATGATCTAAAAATGATTTTAAAATGGATCATTTGTCTGAATTTATTTGACCAGTTTTCTGGGATTAATGATAAGGCTGCTCACACACCTTTATGACAACTCTAATTTAAAATAATTTGCCACATTTTTTTTTTATAAATTTATTGCATTAATAACTTAAATGGATCAAATGTAAGCTCAGTAAAATTGGATTGAAGTTTCATCAAATAACTCATACAATTCAATCAGAAACAAAAATTTAACTCATTACCGTGCTGAATTAACTGTGCTCTTCGATCTAATATTTGATTACATTTTTGCACTCTATAAATAACTTAATGATAATAAACTAAATCATATAAGTATTGGAGAGCCAGATTTAGTAACTTCAAGGCCGTTTCTGTTTATGTGCAGTCAAACGCCGCCACCTACTGGCCTTAGAAGTAATTGTATTGTTGTAATCATTAACAGATGAAGACCAGTCTATCAAATCTTTTGTCTGGTGCCCAGATCTTCTCAGGACAGGTAATTTCGCTTGAACATTGCTTGTGTCCTCCTGTAAATGTCCATCATTTTCAGCATTTGATGCTCTGCTTGCTCTGAATGCATTAGCATTAATCTCAGTCTCTGTGACAGTCTCTTTTGTTTTCAAAATAACTTCTTGTTTACAGAAGGCTTTGTCAGTCTTCAGTTCGTAGGATCTACCTCCTGGAGTAGAGTTGCTTGCTGTTCCATGCATCTTGATCCTGAATTCGTACCACATCCGTGGTACCACATGGCGAGTGGACTCGGAGGTTTCGTTGACTGGTCATAAAGCTGTTTCTGTTTCCATTTCATGTTCTGCAACTTTGTCTGTATCCCTGTGTTGTGCTTGATGTCTGTGTAACAGGGACGGGTTGTGCGCAATTTGCTGTTCATTAAAGTTCTGCTGCAGATAAACCACATTCAAGTGGGGCAGCTCTGTTGCTTAGAAGAGCTAAGTGAGAATCTGAATTGCCATCTGTGGTCTTTCTCAGAATGTGTTTCATGATGTTCACCCCCTTTTCAGCTTTGCCATTTGCCTTCGCATGCTGAGGGCTGGATGTTACGCCACTCTTTGCACTTGTAATAAGGACCATTGTCACTCACTACAGTCTTTGGTATTCCATGTCGGGGAAATATGGACTTTACATGCATAATGACAGTACTGGCATTTGTTCTTGACATGATACTTAAAGCAGGCATATTTCTTGGAATGGACAAATGACTGTGTTCCCAGTAGAACAACTGGGCAACAGAACATAAGCATATGAACAGGTAAAATAAGGAGAACATAGAACAGCTGACTTCCAAAATGGGTCCATTTCTAAACATCTCCATTAACCCTGATGATGGATGGGCAGGGAGTCCTCACAGTCGGTGGGAGACTGCCTCCAGACTGCAGAAAATCCTATTATAGGATGATGAAGTCTAGCATTGTCCAACATACTTTCTGTAGTGGCGATTGTCTGTCAAACCACACATCCAATAAACTT